TCTCTCACACACACACACACACACACACACACACACACACGTTGTATTTTGAGACTCAAATGTAGCTGTGGTGGGCCTATAACTTGCTAGGTAGATCAAGCTGGCCTGGGCCTGGCACTCACAGAGATCAGCATGACTCTGCCTTCCATGTGCTGGGATTAAAGGTGTGTGTTATTACATCTAGCCATTGTGGGAGATTCTTAAGAGCACACACACACACACACACACACACATACTCACCCACATAGTAAGTGAGGATATAGGATATTTGTAGACTTTGATGGTCATTTCCTATCAACCATTGCTATGATAGTTGTCACACAGTAATAATTACATCATTTCTTCTATACTTACTAGTTTGCATTCGCTAATCAGGAATGTTTATATTCTCATTCATTCATCACTGTGGAGTGGTGTGCTCTTATTTTAGTCAATAAAATGCATCTAAGCCAGGCCAGACAGATGGACAGACACACACACACACACACACACACACACACACACACACACACACACACTCGCCTCTATCAGCTGAAGTCTCTGCAAGTAAAAACCCTATGGAAAAAAAAAAAAAAAAAAAAAAAAAAAAAAAAAAAAGATGCATCTATTAATACCATGATCTGAAGCTTAGAGCATGTCAGGTTTAGGTTGTAGAACCCCCTTCAAGGTGGCTTTGTCCTTTTGATAAATCTATATTAATGTTTCTGTCCTACACGAGGTATTTTGAACACATCTTGTGCTTTCACAGAACCAGCACAACATGGATAATTCCCCCAATGAGATTCTTTCAGGTGGAGAGCTGAGTGCTGGCTGTACTCCTCGTTATCAATGTGTAGCAAGGCTCCTCCTGGACAGTGATGAAGTGTATGCGTGTGTACATACACAGACATTGCACAATGATATCATTACCTACCTCTCTATAGTCAAAGCCACGAGCTTACACTACCTCTAGGCTTCATTTCAGTTTTCCCCAGCTTCCATATTTATATAGCCCTTCTCCAGAGGCTGGAATACACTAGTTCTGATACATTCATTATGTGCTCCAGTTCTACACAGCAACCAACCACATGGTCATGGGGTTCAGCCGCCTTGCTTATTCACCTACCCCATATGGGCTTGAAACCCACACAGGGTACCCTTCTTTCTTGGGCCTACTTAGTAGCTTTTAGACCAAACTGGTTAAGGAAAAAGGGAAAGGAAATAAAAAGAAAGAGGGAGGGATCTTTTTCTGTCTAATATTATTAACAAAACCCAGCACTGCTGAACTTTAGTGATTGGGAAGTAAATTTCAGATAAGGAAGAGGAAGAAAAGAGAACATTTGGAGAAGAGGTAGGTCTGGCAGTTTGCCAAGGAAGGAACTCAAGCCTTGGCTTGATTCTCTGTGGAGTCATTAACATCCTTGCTCATAACCGATCACAACTCAGTCAGAGGCCAAGCAGGGGCTACTACCCGCTCCCCATCTTTAAATCGAGTGCTGCCTTGTACCCCTGACTCCTGAGCCCACTCTTCCCATTTGACTTGGCAGGTGGGTTGTTCTAATTTATCTTTATCTGTTCTGTAGTTATATACTGCAGAGCTGGTACCTTGAACCTCTGACTCCGACAAAAGCTGATACAGGTTTGTATGGTAAGCTTGTTGGACGTTTTACTGGTGCCCGTGAGAGGAGGTGGGTTTCCATGATCCTTGTAGCAGCCAAGGTTTCCAGGCACTAGAGACAAACAAAACAAAAGAATTTCACAACATCTGGCTGGGAACTGCTAGGAAGGAAATTCTGTCTGTACCAGGTGTGCTTGTCCCACAGTGTTTACAGCCCTGAGGTACAACACAAGCAAATGACAACAAGCTCTAAAATGGACCCTCTGGTGCTGTTCTCTGCCAAATGCTACACCATCTGTGAGAAAGTATGATGTGCAGGTCCCCGTTTAGCAACCTGAAGATGTTCATTTTACACTATCAATGTTGGCAGAATTTGGTACTGAAGAGAACTAGGGAGCATCTCTTAAGATAGAGAAGGTGGCTTTGCTTTTGGCACATGGCAGCCACCTCCCAGTAATGCACCCAAGTGACAGACATAGAAGGAAAGAGCAGAGGAGGCTGTTGTATGTTTAGGTTTTGTAGGACACATGGAGGTTCCTTTGACCACAGACATGCAAATCTACAAGAAGGGTGACATTGTAGATATCAAGGGAATGGGCACTGTTCAAAAAACAATGACTGTAAGTGTTTCTATAGTAAAACTGGAGGTGTCCATCACTCTTCAGGCTATGGGCATCATTGTGAACAAGCAGTCTTGCCAAGAGAAGCAATGTGCACATTGAACATGTTAAGCACCAAGAGCTGAGCCAGCTTCCTGAAACTGGTGAAGGAAAACGATCAGAAAAAAAAGGAAGCCTGGAGAAGGGCACTGTGTTCAATTGAAGCATCAGCCTGCTCCCCAGAGGAGCAGGCTTTGTGAGAACCAATGGGAAAGAGCCTGTGCTGCTGGGGCTGTTCCCTATGGATTCACAGCTTAATGTACAAAAGAAGTAAAAGACCTAGACCCTGTAAAAACATAACAAAACAGAGACTTTGCCTGGCAAGATGTCTCATGGGTAAAGCCACTTTCTTGATGACATCAGTTTGATCTCTGGAACCTACATGGCAGAGAGAACCAATTCCCAAAAGTTGTTTTTTTGGCCTTTACATGTGTGCTGTGGCATGTGCCTCCTCCCCCTTGCCCCCCTTCCAAAGAGTAGTGAAGCAATCAGATCTATCTAAACTGTTCCAAAATTACTGGAAGAGCATGGGAGGTAAGCACAGGCGCACCACCCCCAGTGTTTGACGTTAAAACAGGGATGGTGTATTTGAGGGCAATCTGGGCTACATAATGCATTTAGACTTTGATTTAAAAGTAAACAAACAAATAATCAAAAGACAAAGGGGCTGGAGAGATGGCTGTACAATTAAGAGCACTGAGGTTTGATTCCCAGCACTCACAATGGTGGCTCAAGACAATCTAACTCCAACTCCAGGAATCCAGACTCCCTCTTCTGGCTTCTGCAGGCATCAGGCATGCACATGATGTACATACATACATGCAAACCAGACATGCACATGGTGTACATACATACATGCAGGTATACAGAGACACATAAAATAAAAAACACATCTTTAAAACCAAACAACCCCAAACTCCCCAAAGGAACCTAAGTTAACATAGTACAGAGAGATGTATATCCATGTTTACTGTGGAATCAATCTGTATGACCATCAAGAAATGATGAATAAAAAAATATGATACACAGACAATGGAATTTTACTCAACCATAAAGGAAAAAAAAATGATAGCTAGGCATGGTGGCCCACACCTTTAATTCCAGCATTCAGAAGGCAGAGGCAGGTAAACCTCTGTGAATTCAAGGCCAGCCTAGTCTACATAGTGAGTTCCAGGACAGCCAGGGCTACACAGTGAAAAGTGAAACCTCCACTCAAAACAAACAAAAGCATTCAGTTTGCAGACATGAATTCACTCTAGTTGTGACAGCATGCACATGCCCCATGAAAACTCAAGCCAGACCAAATCCCTGCATGGAGAAGGAGGTGACATGAGGCCCCACTCCTACCTGAGGAGTTATTGGCTACTGACAGCTACTGGGGGTGGGGGTCAGTTTCTTTAACAGTGTTACCCTGGAGTTTGAACACATTACAGTGGAAGACTACATATTCATGAATATATGGGCAGCATGATTTAGACTTGATGGGAAGAAAAACAAAAGATAGAAACCAAAATTGGGTGGGGAGGAAAGGGGGTGAAGATAGGAGGAGCTGGAGGAAGGGTAAATACGTTTTTTTAAAATTTTTATGTATGTTTTAAAATGTATGAAATTCTCAAAGAACTAATAATAATAATAAACACAATTCTAGCATGTGGGTGTGTGTAGGCCAGAGGATTACCTTGGGTGTTGTTCGCAGGTGCCCTCTCAGCAGTGTGGAACTCACCAAGCAGGCCAGGCTGACTGGCCGGCCGGTGAGTGCAAGGGGTCACCTGTCTGCCTTGCCAGCACTTGGGGGGCACATGTATGGCTCACCATGAATAGCTTTTTAAAAGATATTTGTTTTTATTTTTAAGTATATGTATGTGTGGGTTTAGGTGCATCACATATACCTGCAGAGGCCAGTGGGTTTCCAGTCCCTTAGAATGGAAGTTACAAGTGATTGTGAGCCCCCAGATATTGGTGCTGGGAATCGAATCTGGGTCCTCTGCAAGAGTAGTAAGTAGTAAGTGATCTCTCCAGCCCCCATACCTGGCTTTAATTTTTTTTTTTAACTTGGGTTCTGGAAGATCAAACTCAGGTTCTATAGGCAATCTCCACATCAGTTTATATACACATGGATGATGTCAAGTGAGACTACTGGGGAGAAGGAAGCAGATTAGTGAGATTTAGACACAGGAGAGAAAGGACTGCATAATGGGGGTGAAAATGGTCAAAGTACACAATATGCTTGAGTCAAGTATATGAAAATACTTGAATTGCAATGTCTTTTTTGAAGCCTACACAACACTGTACAAAAAATAAAACAGAACAAACAAAATGGTTCAGTCACTAGAGGGCAAAACAAACCCTCAGGAAACCCTACCTTCACCTTTGTTCTTTAAAACAGTGAACAGGCTTCCCCAGGTCTTATGGTGAACAGTGTGCTTTCCCATTGCTGCAGGAACAAATGACCACAAACCTGCCATCTCAACAGTATTTATTACCTTTCATTTTTCTGAGGGCCAGAACAACCAAGCAGATTTTAAGAGCCAAAATGAAGGTGTCAGCAAAGCTGAGCCATACTTGAAGAATTCTAAGAAGCAACCCACACTTTTCAGTTCTGGCCACACAGCTGCTGGTTCTCTCATCACCTCTTCCCTCCCTGCTTCCATGTCCTGTTGTAGGCCCTCTGACTCATATCTTCCTGTAAATGAACTGGACCCACATGCATAATCCAGGATAATCTCTCCTTCCCAAGTCTTTAGCCACACTTGCAAAGTCTCATGCCATTTAAGGTCACATTTTCATAGACCCAGGATTATAAAGTCCTGTCTTTGGGGGTCATTATTCAGCCTACCACAAGGAACACATTAGTGTTTTACAGCCACAAGCTAGATTGTTTGGCCTAGTGAGGCAAGAGGAACATAAATATGGGCACCGACCATGGTAGCTGACTTTCACATAGCCTTGGGGATCTGCTATGAACTGAATACTTGTACACCACTGTGATATAATAAGAAATACACTTGGTTTCTACCCACTTCCTGCCACTTCTCTAACCCTCAAGATGCTGGATGACTCTTTCTAATGAGGCACCTCATGGTGGGCTCCTGGTTAGCCTCATGGCGGGGGCTGAACACCAGATAGAACAAGCCACAATTAGTAACTTGGAACTTTCAGTCCCACTCCCCATCCTCCAGGGAAGAGAAGGGGTAGAGATGGAGTCAATACTTGATTGTGCCTACCTGGTGAGGCCTCTGAAAAACCACTAGAGATGAGTCCAGGGAGTTTCTGAGGTGATTAACATAGCCAGGCTGAGAAATGGCACACTCCACAGGGACAGGGGCTCAGAACCTTTTGGACCTTAAACCAAGGAACATCTTCAACCTATCAGATCCTTTCTGACACACCAGAGAACGTGTTCCTCAAGTTCTGAGAGCTATTACAGCAGATTACCAAACCTGTGGAGGAAATCTTAGAAACCTTTTTTTGCAGACAAGCCTAGACACTCACAACTTTTGACTGGCATCTGAAGCAGGGTGTGGTCCTGCAGGGCCAAGCCTTGAACCCATGGCACTGACTCTGGGTGTTTAACGCATGACAGAATTGTAAGCCATCCTGTTGGCGTGGGGCGAGTTGCAGGACTGGCTGCTGGGAAAACTCATCCATCTGGTGTCAGAGCCAAGTCTGTGGATATATAGGGAAAAGTTTGTTTCCTTCCTTTTATCCCCAGCTCATATGCTGGTCTGAATAAACAGTGTGAATGGACTTGGAGTGAGGCCTCCAGGAGGTAATTAGATGAAGTCAGGAAGAGTGAGCTCCCACAAGGGGATAAGAAGAGGAGACAAGAGCCCATTCTTTCTCTGCCATGTGAGTATTCATCAAAAACACAGCCATCAAAAAGCCAGGAAGAGGGGCTGCACAACAGGGCACACTGAAGACACCAGAATGTGGATGCTAGACTCCCAGCCTGCTATGTTTAGTAGGAAGCCACTTGGGTCTGAGCAATTTTGTTTTTAAAAAAAATTATACTACTGCAGGGCATTTTAGCACTTTAATTCCAGCATTCAGAAGACAGAAGCAGGTGCGTCTCTGTGAGTTCAAGGTTACCCTGGCCTACATAATGAATTCCAGACCAGCTAGGGCTACATAGTGAGACCCTGTCTCTCCAACCTGCCATGTGCATCAAATAAAAAAGTATATATTACCTAAAATAGATCCCTGTCCCTAAAGCTCATGCCCTGTAAGACACCCTAGAGTTTACACTTTTTGAGACAAGGTTTCAATATGTAGCCTTGGCAGGATTACAAGAAGACAAATGGGCTATAGCAAAAGCCTGTGGCAAAGCACTGAGGGTGGCTGGGCTCCAGCCAGCAACACACATAAGACGCATCTTAAGGGCAGGGGCTGTGTGAGCCGGACAGTGGCTCTTTCCCCTTCTTGTTCTCAGCTGTGACACTCTAGCCCTGGCAAA